GAGCAGGAAGATTTAGTCAGGGGAAGAATAGAGGAGAGCAAGAAAAGAGCTATCCAATAGAGGGACACAGGGACAGGTGACATGAAGAAGGGGTTTCTCATGGACCCCAGACTGATAACTGAGAAACCAGCTGGGTTCCAGACCCCCTGAGCAAGGATGTCAGTTAGGAGGCCTGGGTAATCTATGTGGCCTCTGGTAGTGGATCAGTATTTATCCCTAATGTATGAATGGAATTTGGGAATAGAGGGATACTCACTCTCTCAGCCTAGACATTCAGGGGAGGGTGTAGGCCCTGCTCCAAATGATATGACAGACTTAGAAGATCCCCCATGAAAGGCCTCGCCCTCCTTGTGGAGTAGAATACAATTGGGATGGGGGGGGCAGGGAATGAGGGGAGGGAGAGGGAACTGGGATTGACATGTAAAAGAAGCTTGTTTCTAATAAAAAATGATTCAGCATGGGTGCCACTTATTGGGAGTTTTTTTTTTTAACCTTTCTTTCATTAGATGAATTTCATGGATTTTTCAAAAAAATCCATTTTTTCACACGGATTTATAATCTATAAAATCACCTGGCACTCTGGTAAACTGAGTTTCTTTTTAGTCATTATACTATGGTTTTCCTGAGGACAAGGGCAGGAAGCATAGCTGGTTCGTTATCACTGTGTCACCATAATGCAGCATAGTCCTGGCTCATTGATGGTATTTAGTGTGTTTACATTATCCTGAATAAATTAGTAATATGAATAAAATATACAACATATCCAGAAGAGTAAAAATTTAGTTAGGCAGAAGTCAAGAATTGAATTGAACAGCCTGGAAGATATGTACACTTTGATAAGGCAGGAGACAAGACTGGGTATGGGTATGTTCATGTGTACATGGGTGCTTGTATGTGTGTGTGGAGGTCAGATGTCAATGCTGAATGTCTTCCTCAATTGCCCTCTACCTTGTTAATTGAACTAGGGTTTCTCAAATGACTTGGAGCTTGATTCAGCTAGATTAGCTTGCCAGCAAGTACCAAGGATCCTCCTATCTCTGCCTCTCCTTGTGTGCCCCTGTCCATGTGTTTTGGGAATTCAGGTTCTCATGCTTTGGCAGCAAGTACTTCACCAACTGAACCAACTCTAGCTCTCAGAAGAGATTTTTAAATTCAGATATGGCTATAAAATGGAGATAGGATAGTGTTAGCAATATTCATTGCTGTACTAATTTATGTGACCTTGTTTCACCACAGAACGGAGCATAGGATATGGGCAAGAGTTGAAGTGAGTGCCAGTATCATTAGCATTGACATTATTATTATAACAGTGTGACTGAATGAATGTCAATAACTAACTTGGGTAAAGTCACTTAACCTTTTCTATTATTGTAATACTAAGGTGTTAAAACAGTCCTTTAGAGTCCTAGAATATATGGTCTCTAAAAGTGGGGTTGACATAGGTTTCTGGGAATAGGGAGAGCCTTGGGTACTAAATTAGAAATGTTGCCTTCTATGTATGTGTGTGTGTGTGTGTGTGTGTGTGTGTGTATGTATGGATGGATGTATGGATGGATGTATGGATGTATGTATGTTACTGATAATGGGTCGGTGATGATGTCCTAAAGATTCTAAGGCAGAGGAAAATCTCCAATGTAGAGGAGAGTTTCCAAGGCAAGAAGCATAGGGACTTCCTGAGTGAATCAACTGAGAAAATCTGAATGGTTTATAGACATGAAATGACACAATAAAGACCTCGGTTTAGCCTCGTGGGGGAACATTAGTAGGTAAAGCAACTTAGAGATCATAAGTAGGGTTTCTAGAGAAGTATTGAAGAACAGCAGAGCCTAAGTTTTATTTTCACTTGTAAATACAAGACATTACCTAGATGTGACCATTGGACCAATGAGATGGTTCATCAGATAAGGGCACGTGAACTAAACCTGATGATTTTAGTTTAATTCCCTGAACCCCAACACTAGAAGAACCAACTCCTAAAAGTTGTCTTTTGACTTTGACACTAATGTTGACCCTGTATGAGGGGATGGTCTCCATTTTCACTAACCTGATGCACACAGACGTTACACTTATCACAGAATACCATATCATTCCCCTCTTCACTGTCTGGAGACTGGCACACATCACAGATCACATCTTCATCATACTCTATTCCTAGTCCTTCTTCTGTCTCAATAGCATGGTTCATATTTTCATGGCAGTGGCGTTCCAGAACCTCTATTGTCTTTTCCATAAGAGTCTCATTGATCATCGATTGGCCCATAACCTGCACAAAAATAAAAACAATCAACCATCATTATCTGTCCGCTGTCATTGCCAAATCATCTACTGCAGGGTTAGGTAGGGCGCTAAAGGATAAACCAACCTCTCTAAAAAGTTTTTTTTTTTGTTTTTTTTTTTTTTTTTTTTTTTTGGAGACAGTGTTCCTCTGTGTAGCCTTGGCTGTCCTGGGACTTGATCTGTAGACCACACTGGCCTCGAACTAACAGAGATCCATCTGCCTCTACCTCCTGAGTGCTAGGATTAAAGACATGTGCCACCACCGTCCAGCAGTAATTTTTTTACAAGAGAAATTCTAACACTTATCAATTACAAGAAAATTAGTGTTTGATACATTAATGAAGAAATACATTTTAGCACATTTTCTTAAAACATTACAGACCCTTTCATTAAAAAAAAAAACAAAAAACTAAATCCTAGTCAGTGGATAAAGGCACTTGCTGCTAAGTCTGATGACCTGATTTTCATCCCTGGGACCCTCTTGGTAGATGCAGAGAATCTACTCTTCAAAGTTCTCTTCCATACACATGCATATGAGATATGTTATATGGCTACCCCTCCACACAAATAAATATAAAATTAAAAAATAAATCCTAGCCAGTCTCCTGATAAAATATTAATTGATTTTCTCTTAGTCATACTAATAGGACTTTTATATATATATATATATATATATATATATATATATATATCAATATATCACACACACACATACACACACGGCTATGTATATGAAATACTGTTTTTCAAACCTGATTTTTTTTTTCAAGACAGGGTTTCTCTGTGTAGCTTTGGAGCCTATCCTGGCACTCGCTCTGGAGACCAGGCTGGCCTCGAACTCACAGAGATCCGCCTGTCTCTGCCTCCCGAGTGCTGGGATTAAAGGCGTGCACCACCAACGCCCAGCTCAAACCTGATTTTTTAAAAGAAGCAAGTACTATTTTTCAATGACAAGCAGTAATAGAAACCTCTTAACAGTCACAAAGATTTAAATATAATTCTGAAATCACCTCTTTTCATTCTGATTTCTTTTTCTTTTTATACTTTTCTCTCCTCACCTTCCACTCTTAACCTAACTGAAAGATTCATAGGGCTGATGCTGCTAAAAAAAAATATTTTTCTTCTTAAAAGGATCAATGATTTTTTGGACATTATTTATTCTTAGAAACTAAGGAATAATTTTCAAAATGATCCAAAATATATTTAATATTTGTAATGTAAGACACCATAAAAAACTTTCAAATCTGTATTAATTACCTTTTAAAATTTTTCTACTTATGAAGCAAAAAGCTTACTCAGGCTTATTTTTCAGCCTAGACATATCATATACACACACATACACTTACTTACATACACATATATGTATATATTAGATACACACATATAGGTATGTAGGAACAAAGAGTATAGTGTCTAGTCTGGGTATATCCCCAAAGAACTCTGTATTTCATCACACAAATATTTGCATATCCATGTTTTTTACTGCTGCTGTATTAACAATAGCAAGGAAATGGAATCAGCCTAAATAAAATGCCAAACTGATGAATGGATGATAAAAATATAGTACATATATACAATAGAACTTTATTAAGTCATAAAGAAAAATGAATATCACAGGAAAATGGATATAACTGGAAAATATTATATTAAGTATAGTAAACTGGTGTCAGAAAAATAAATACCATGTTTTCACTCATATATGGAGCCTAGAGATAATTTTTTGGTGTTTTTTTGAGACAGGGTTTCTCTGTATTGTTTTGTAGGCTGTCCTGGAACTCGCTCTGTAGACCAGGCTGGCCTTGAACTCACAGAGATCCGCCTGCTCTGCTTCCCGAGTGCTGGGACTAAAGGTGTGTATCACCAAGGCCCAGCAAGCTAATTTTAATATATTTATATTTATGTGACAGTGATTATGTGTAGAGTTCAGTTATTTCTCACTGTAAACCTTTTCATATACCTTCCCTATTTTCCTTCAAATTCATAGCTATTTTCATTAATTGTTGTTCCACGGATATATGTATATACATATATGCTCCTAAATATAAATCTGTTCAATCTGTATAATATTACATTTATTTATGTTTTTAGGGTTAACCATCTGGTACTGCATAACCAACCATTGTGCTTTTCTCTATTTCTCTTGCTCTCAGCATTCCTTAGTTGCCTGTAGTTTTTGTGTAGTTTCATGTGAGCATGGTATAATAAATTGAACTTAAAGCCCACTTAACAAGAGGGAAACAATACTGGAAATCTAGATATTTTCTCAGTGCAAGCAAAGTCATGGCTATTGAAGGAGAACCTACAATCACTACTTTATTAAAACAGTAAATCCCTAATTACATTATAAAAATTGTCCTTATATCCACAGGTAAGTGTAGTCTTTACCCTTCATCAAGGAAACTTGTCTTTGAAACAGATAGAGACCACCACAGAAAACCATAACCAATCAAAATGCAGAGTTGTGGAGCTCAGTCTCAACTGATATATCTACAAAACATGTCCACTAAGGCTCAGGGAACATTATAGATGAGGTAGCAGAATGATTTTAAGAGCAAGAAGACCAAGGAGTTTGCTGTGAGATTGTTGTGTCTCTTAGTGATGTCAGAAGCTACACACATAAAATCTCATCGACATGATTACTTAAATGTGAGCTGAACAAGGATGACACAAATAGACATGCTAAAGTAGACAAGGAAAAAAGTCTATGAGGCCTCACCCCCCCTGCAAAAAAAAAAAAAAAACCAACTCTTCTAAGATTAAATGGAGTTTGTTGTCCTGGATGGGACCCTAGACCAGAAAGAGATTAGTAGAGAAAGAACTGAAAGCCCCCAAAAGCCTGGAACATCAGGTAATGTGTTGGTTTCTTCATCCTGACAAATACATCATGGCCAAGATATATGTTAATATTAGGAACACAGAATATATTTTAGGTATACATTTGTATTCTATGTCCTGAATATCCATTTTTTCTGCAAATCAAACCATTCCATAATAAAAAGTAAAATTAGTTGTAAACCAGTGAACTTATAGGGCAGTTTCTTATCAAAGGTAGCATTGTGGTGACTGTGTTATCTACGAATTTTATATGCATGCAAAACCACACACTGTGGTACTTGATTAGGTTGTCATACTCTGCCTTTGTCCCTCTTTTATTCCATTCTCTGTGATTTACACTCTAAATTGGCCACCCCCAATTCCTCTTAGAGGACAAATCAAGAAGAAACAAAAATATACTAAGTGTTTAAGTGCAAAAATTAAAATTTAGTTGGCACCATAACTTCTATCACCATGTCAAAGATGATTTAATATGATTTTAACTTTTTTACATGTATTCATATGCTAGTTTTAACAAAGAGAACTACTTTTAGAGATATTTTCCCATAGGCCTACTATTCTGGTAACAAAATTAGAAGCCTTAAATTAAAGGGCAATGGTCATAGTAACCTGTCATTTGTAGTGGAATAGTGGGTACTGCTAAATGCTGTAGATAGATCTTTTCTCTAACACCTGAAAGACACACCTTTACCTATGGCCAAGAACAGGTCTCAGTATATCCTTTACAACCAGAAGTTCAATCAATAATCACCACACTAACATTAAGTATAATGAAGCAACTTCATGAAACTTATGAGCCATCTGTATCTGTGCTATTATACTGAATAAATAAAGGGAAGGTCATTTAGATCGTATCACTCTATTTTGATATAGATTAAAATAATAGATAAAATACTGCTATGCTTTATGTACCTCATTTCATCAAAAATAAAAATAACTGAAAGGGTAGGTAAGAAAGGAAAGCAAGTTTTACAGGTTCAAACAACTTAAAAAAAAAACACTGGTGAAGACAATGCACAACTTGTAAGAAAACAGCTTACCCATTTCTTCAAGGTCTTCATTGAGTTCCTGAAGCCAAAAGGTATCCATGTCATCTAGGTCATAGCGGCATGTAGATGCTGCCAGCTCTAGGGTATTTATATAGCCAGGCTCTGCAGCCTCTGGAATGGAGCAACGGATATATTTCCGGGGCCGGACAAAGAGAACTTCTTTTACTTTTTCAGATATAATCCTAGAAAAGCAACAGAAAGGCAATGGCCACAATTAACAAATGACAGATTTCAGGTACTGACAAGAAAAGCCAAGTGACTATGGCCATAACCGGGAGCATGCCATGCTATTCACTCTGAGAGGTATGACAGATCCCTTTCTAGAGTCAAACGGTTCTGCAAATTCAGTTTCATCATCATCTGTGAACTTACTGACTGATAATGATATGATTCATTGACCTCCACAGATCTGGGACCCTACTACTATTTATTCTAAGAAAATGTTAATGTATTGTGTGTTCTTGACCTAATGGTCACCAAGTGTATTTAGAAGGGAAAAACCTGGTAATGAATGTTATCTGCACAAAGTTATGCTTAAACATACACCTCAGCAAAACCCATGACTTTTTTTCCATGGATAGAGTTGGTAGTTGATAGTTGGTAGTGCAGAGCACAGGTTTTAGACTCACACAAGCCTGTTTTTTTTCTGTCATTCATTTGTAAAGTGGTCCTGAAAATTACTTAATTTAGGTAAGGTTCAGTTTCCTTTGTGAAAAAGCAGGGACAATAATAATAAACTATTAAAATAACACCAAACTGGTAAGATTAGTATGCTTACATGAAATAAAGTATTTAGTATGGTATATAATAAAAACAGGTTTCAGGAACATTAGTGTTATATTTCTTACAACTTTCTCTATGCAAATGAGATAAAGTCAAGAGATCATACAGTTGTACAAACTCAAGGTATTTCCCAACCATATATGAGAGTGGCTATAGGTTTGAGCCAGGGCTACATGATGGAATAAAAGATTCTTATTACTGTATCAACTTTTGTAGTGAGCTTGAGCAAATCCATAGCTCTCCTGATACCTAAGAACCCAAGGCAAGAGAACCAATCAGAGGAAGAAATGGAAAAATTTTATGTCTATAACTTATTCTATACTTGATGGTTTAAGTACCAGATGAGGCATCAGAAAATATAACCAGTATATTTATTTTCTGTAAAATTTAAAAAAAAGAGGGTGTGAGAGAGAGAGAGAGAGAGAGAGAGAGAGAGAGAGAGAGAGAGAGAGAAACAGACACACTCATGTTATCATAAAATAATGAAAACCATTCCTCTGGAAGGATTTGAGATTTAATTTAATTCTAGAGTCATTATATATAGGAGGATTAATAAACTTATCAATACATGTACTATATATATAGTTGACCATGCAAATGTAGAAAGTACATATTTTCTTCTAGGCATTCTTCCCAAAGCCTGTGATTCCAAATAATTATTTTGAATAATTACTATACATATTTGTATATTAAAATTCTTCTACCATATAGAGATCCAAAAACAAAAGCAATAAATATTTGAGGAAAATGCAGAAATTTTAAGAATTGAAGCTAAAATTTTGGGAACTGTATTCAGAGGCCTGCTTCCAACTGAAAAGGACAAAATACATGCTCTCCATAGATTTCAAGATCAAATATACAGCACTTCTTGGGTGCATGGCCTTACAAGGCAATTATAGACTATTTGATTTTTTTCAAGGTATCTTTTTCTAAAAAAAGACTTTATAGCTAATGATTCATTTCAAGTGCTTTAAATTATGCAAGGTAAAAGGTAGATTATAAATTTTCTTGAATGAACCTTATGCTTATAAAGCTTCTGGAAGAACACAAAGGAGAATATATTTATAACATCAGGGTAGGGAAAGATATTTTAAATGAAGCACAAATGCCACCAAACACAAAAGTAAAAGAATGAAAAAACACACATACTAAAACTCTGGTTATTAAATGTGTGAAAAAGCAATTCATGGGGTAGAAAATATTTACAATTAAAGATAGACAAAGAACCCAATTAAAAAACTAGGCAAAATATTTATGCAGACACTTCATAAATAAGGCTACCTCTTATGGAAAATAAGCAATTAAAAGGCTCTTACCCTCACTAGCTACAATAGATATTGAAATCATAATCACTGTTATCTATCAGAATGGCTAATATTTAAAAGACTGACCCTAAATTTGCCTATGAAGGTCTAACAGAAGCAAATATATCTATTATTATACTGCTGGCTTGGGCATGAATTGATATAAGCCACTCTGGCAGCAAATATTATGGGTATAAAGTATAATAGAATATGAATAGACATGTGTCCTATGACCTAGCAAATATACTCCTAGGTATATATTTAATAAAAATGTATGGACATGAGTGTAAAAAGGTTCAGTTTCTGCAATTGCTAGAAACAATTTAAATGTCTATTAAAGGTAAATGGATAAAATGTGGCATATTCACACAATGAAATATAATGCATGGGTGAAAATTAATGAACTATTTCATGCAACAGCATGGATGGATCTCACAAGCATAATGATGAACAAAGCAATCCAGTCTCAAATGAATACATACTATAGGAGTTTATTTATATGAAGTTCAAAAACTGGCAAAACTGTTACCTACGGTGAGGGAGGTCAGTTACTGGCAGGGAGCAGAAGAAAGGCTTCTGGGGTGTTGGTAATGGTCTATTTCTTGATCTGAGTGGCAGTTAAATGAATACATTTAATTCACGAAAATTCATTCATCTATACAATCATGCATTCTATACTTTCTGGATGTACACCATATTCCAATGCAAAGTTTATCATAATGATAATTAGAATGGTGATGCCATCTTAGTCATCTTTTCATTAAGTATAATGAACTAAAATCTGAATCTAAGGACTGAAACAATAGCACCAAATGCAAGAAAAAAGGTCAAATTAATGTAAATTTACAAGAGAAGTTACTGAATTAATGACAGAGGAGATCTTTGAATATGTTACTTTGGAATTTTTATTTTATTTTTGGCTTTTTTTTCAGACAGGGTCTCACTAGGTAGCCCTGGCTACCTCACTAGGTAACCATGTAGATCAGGTTAGTCTCTAACTCACAGAGATCCACCTGTCTCTGCCTTCTGAGTGCTACCATGCCTGTTGGATTTTATTTTTTGAGACAGGTTCTTACTATCCTTCCTGCTTCAGCCTCTCAAGTCCTGGGATTACAGGTGTGTTATCAGCCCCAGCCTGGAACTTTTTATAAAACAGCTTAAATTATCATCATTTACACACACACACACACACACACACACACACACACACACACACACCCACA